GCAGCGGCGTCAGAGCACACGGAAGCAAATAGTTCGTCATAATGATGACGTATTGCCCACGGCATCGTGGCGTTCTCAACGCTACGTGCTGTGACGAACTGTTTACTCAGTGATGGAATCAGGGAGAGGCAGGGGAGGGAGAAATTCCTGATTTAGAGATTGCTCATTACAAAAAAAAAAATGTTTCTGAGCACAGACGTGGGCTGTGTCAGCAGAATAGTTCTGCATGTGTAGTTAATCAGTCTCTGCATAACATAATCTGGCTGTAAATCTTTTACCTTAGCTGTATCTGTGAGTTGGTGGTTTATGTTGTCATGCAAAATAGGTAAACTACTTATTGTCCCAGCAAACGTAGTTAGGGAATAGTGTCTAATGTACACTAAGAGTAAATTTCTGGAGGTTAAACAGTAGTGATTTCTTCTCTGTGGGAGGAAAAAAAACCCAAAACTTAGAGAACTCTGGACAGGAAGGATTTGTTCCCTGATTTAGGAAGATCATTGAATCCAAAAACTTAGTATGGAAAAAGACAGCAGTAGCAATGGCAGAAGCTGGCAAGCCTGTGGTAATGCTGAGTGCTCCACTGCAAATGCTACTCAGATCTCTACTTGATACATTATGTTGACACTGATCTTTCATTTCTAAAATTGTAAATGGATTTTTGATTTGGAACATGCAATGTGTTTTGTTGTAAGTAATGGTAACTTTTTTTTTCCCCCCTAGATATGGGCTCATTATGCCAAAAAAATTGCCACAGAAAAATCTTGTTTCAAAGAAACTCTCAGTGTTCGCAGATGACTCTGATGAAGAGGTCAGTTCAACATTTTTCTTCTGAAATTTGCCCTATGTTTTGGAAATTATTTTCGCTTATTTGGTTGTTTACAACCCTAAATGCCTGCATCAGCTTATGGCAGTATCACTAAGATATGTGTCATCATTTTGGATTTGGGCATGAAATATGATCTGTGTTTTCTTTAGTGCAAATTACATGGAAGTGATGACTTTATTGTTAGTTATTTTCTGACAGCTCTTCCAAAGTTCATCACATGAGGCAACCTGTTCGTAAAAGTTAACAGTATGTAGCTTGTAAAGAAATTTGTTGGCTATCGCTGGTAAACATGTCTGCAGATAGAAAGACAGTAGTAATCAACAGTCATTTCTCAGATAGTAACTTTAAAGTGTAGTTGTTAAGTGTATCTTATCCTTTAGCTCGTTCCACCCAAAGTTGATGTAATTGATTTATGATGCTCGCGCTCACTGCAAACAAAAGCAAAGCTGTACAACCCAAAAGTTCTAAAGCAAAAAAAAAAAAAAAAGTCAAGTAGTGAGAATTACTTATAATTCTGGAAGTACTTGCAATACGTGTAATATCAGATTGATCAATACACAGCTTTTCTGTGATCACAGAGTTTGTTGATACTCTGTGATGTATGACTATATTGCATGATGTTCTTTTCTATGGTCTCCTTTATTTTTTTTATTTTTTTTTTAAGTACTACCTTCAGAACACTAGCTTTATACCTGCCCCAGCAGAGGGTGCTGTACACTGTTAAAATTACACTTCTGAATGTAATGCTATGAGTAC